TAGGTCAGGAACCTTTCGGGGAGTTTAGCTTATGCTGTCTCATTCTGTTTGGGGACAATCCAAGGGCACAGACCTGGCTCCTTACATTTTAGACCTCGGGCCCAGGTGAGGCCAGTGACTTTATCAAGATCAGCTGGTCAGTATGTGGACTGAGCCCTGGAACAAGACGTGTCTGACTTTGGAGCTGGGCTTGTCTGGAAAGCAGTGGCTCTCCAGAATGGATGGACTCCTCTGGGTAACTCGAACATACACTACCAGGGATCAGCACAGCACAGTTTTCTCCTGTCCTCTCTCCTCTGGTTTGGAGAGAAGGGTTGGGTCTGTCCTGAACTGTACCTGTGCCACAATCTTCCAGCTGAGTTCCCTTTCCTGAGTGCCACACACTAGTATGGAGGACAAGAACCATAGACTAGTTCCTGTGAGGGCCACGGGCATGTTTCACTGACTGAGCCTCTCTGGACTTTTCTGCCCCACGAAGGACTCCATGAAGGCTGGACTCCGAGTGCCCTTTCCCTCCACCTTTGTCCCCAGCTTGGGTACACTTTTTCTTGGCACTGGAGCGTCAACAGGTGTGAACAAGTGTATGGAGACCTGGCGTGCCAGGGCTGGCACCGCTCATGGCCTCCGCTCACAAGAGATGGCAGTTGCCACCTTCTGCAGGCTGCCCATCAAAACACATTGTTGCCTGGCACCTCCACAGCCTCCTACCAACTTGTGAGTAGGCACCACGCCATCGCAGCAGATGGGCAGAAGGGGCAGCAAAGCAGACCCATCCTGGAGCTGTGTGTACAATGGAGTGAAGGCTTGGTTTTCATCTGAAGAGGGGTCAGCAGAACTCTTCTCACCTTGAATTTTGAGGACAAAAGTTAGAGGGGGGGGGCTTAGTCTTGAGCCTGTGCCAGGCTGGCTGAGGGTTGGTTTTTAAAGAAAAAAGTGGAATCCATCGGACCTTTGTGGCTTTGACTTGGATGACCTTAATGGGAATTTGCAGAGTCAAGAACATCATTGGTGACAGTAGGAAGGAGGATAAAATAAGGTTCTAGAGAAAACCTTTTACTTATGTGACCTCTTCCCCACCAAACCCCAGGTATCCTGCTCATAGGCTAACAGTCCTACAGCCATCAGGTCAGACCCCATCAGGGTTGGGGGCATGACAGGAGGCACCCTCTCACTGGTCGTGGGTAGCACAGACCCGTTAGGGCCTGGCTCCTTGCAAGCATTCAAAAGGTTGGGGACATACTCCTACTGCCCAAGTACCTGCATCATGGATTTCTGGAAGCCAAGGGCTCATTGCCAGTGTGTGCAAACATCTTGAAGGGACCACGTAAGCCAGTGAGTCTATAGATGTGGCTGTTAAGGTGGGGAAGGACCTCTGGGGGAGAGTGTATCCCAGGAAAAGCGGGTAGGCCATTTGAAGAGAGCCAAGGCCTGAGAAGGGAAGGTGTAGAAATCGAGGTCAGTGTTGGGGTCGTAGCTCAGTGGTAGAGCATTTGCCTAGCATTTGTGAGACTCCAGGTTCAACTCCCTGCACTGCCAAGTAAAAAGAGAAAGGAACTGTTGGGGCTGGTGAGATGGCTCGGTGGTAAAGTGCTTGCTGTGTCAATCGCTGTCAGTTTCATTGTCCACTTGACACGCCTGACACGAAGGAACCTCAGTACGGAATTTTCTCCATCACACTGGTCTGTGGGTACGTCTGTGGGGCATTTTCTTTATAACTAATTGACATGGGAGGACCCAGCTCACTGTACGTGGTGCCACCCCTAGTCAGGTGGGCCTGGGCTCTACAAGAAACTCAGCTGAATGTGAGCCTGAGAGCGAGCCAGTAAGCAGCGTTCCTCCATGGTCTGCACTTCAGTTCGTGCCTTGGCTTCCCTTGATGATGGACTGTAGCCAGGAAGCCAAATAAACCCACTCCTCCCAAGTTGCTTTTGGTCAGTATTTTATCACAGCAAGAGAAACTAAATTAGAGCACTGTGTAAATGTGAGGATCTGACTTCAAATTCCCATGTACAGCTGGGCAATAGTGCACAGCTATAATCTCAGTGCTCCTGTCGAGAGATGGGAAGCAGAGACAGGAGAGTCCCACAGCTTGCCTGGTGTATGCAACAGCAAACGACAGAAAGAGACCCTGTCTCAAACAAGGTGGAAAGGAAGGGACACCCCTGAGGTTGTCTTCTGACCACACATTTGTACTGTGGCACACACACACACACACACACGGGGGGGGGGATATCTCTTTTTTATGTGTATTGCCTGCAGGTATGTGAGTGCACTGGTATTATGCCATGCCCAAGGAGACCAGAAGAGAGCATAGGATTCCCCTGGAAATGGAGGTTCGGATGGTTGTCAGCTGGGAATTGAACCCAGGTCCTTTGCAAGAACAGTCGGTACTCTTAACCACTGAGCCATCTCTCCAGCCCCAAGAGATCTTTTTAAAGATGAGTGATGTGGCGTGTTTTGCAGGACCCTGGATGGATAAGCTCAGGCTTCATTTGACAGCCGGGAAAACTTACAGTGAAATGTGATCAGAATTCCCTGAGAAGTCAAGGAAGACCCTACAGGAAGCCGGGCCCGTGCTGCCAGGAAGACAGGGAGGGTTGCATCCTTCACTGGGAGCCCAGAGAAAGGAGAACTTGAAGGGAAAAGGAGGAGGGAGAGAAGAATGAATTATAAGCCACTCAGAGAACAGTGGTGCTATTCACAGAGACAGGAGTCAGGCAGCCCCACTGGATTGTCTCTCATGGTCCCCAGTCCCAGTTATTCTATACTAGTGACGAATTCTCACCACCCAGACCATTCCTCTCCCTCCACAGTATGGATAACCACGACTTGCTGGAGTCATTTATTCTACAAAAGAGACTGCAAAGATCTCTCCAGGCCCAGGCTGGGCTGCCCATTGCATTGCTTTTCTTTTCTTTTCAAATATTTTATTTATTATTTTTATTTTATGTGTATGCATGTATTGCCTGCGTGTAGGTAAGTGCACCCGTGTTGCGCAATGCCCCTGTCGGACAGAAGAGGCTGTCAGATCCCCTGGGACAGGAGTTACGGACAGTTGTTAGCTGCCATGTGGGTGCTGGGATTCGAACCTATGTCTTCTGCAAGAATAACCAGTGTTCTTAACTGCTGAGCCATCTCTCTAGCCCCCGCCCATTGCATTTCTACCTAAGGTTGAGGCTTCATCTTCACATGAGGATTTTTGGAGTAAGCTCCCTTAAAAGCAGCCTCTTGTTTCCATGAAATGCTCTTCCTGCTTCCACACAGTGCTATCATCTTCTGGTTATCATGTTGAATAATTTACAGTTTCTGCCAGTCTGAAATTACACGTGGGGTGGCTCTGTTTGTGGCCAACCCAGCAATTAGCCACATACTTCTTCATCACTGCAATTATGCTGCAAAGGGGGAAAGCAGTCAAGCTGCTGCCCCAAGGGGAGCAAAGGACTAGCAGAGTCTCAAAGCCATTTGTCTGGGGGGGGGTGGTTGGTACAGGTGGGGCTGGGATGGCCTGGGAGGTCTCAGGTAGGCATCACAGGACTTCCCCACCCAGTCTTAGATCTGTTCTGTGATAATCATCTTATCTTTAAAGTTGATCCCTTCCCAGGATTGTAAAATAGCTTTCAATTCTTGTGCTACATTTGAAAATCTGGTGGTGGCTGCCTGGAGTATGTCCTGGCAAGGAGCTCTAAAGCAATGATTGTGCTCAGTGGGAGAGAGTGCTGTGATCAATTAGTGATGTCTGTCATGACTAGAGGGAGGGATGGATACTGTGTATCTGACATCGATCATTCAATTCTAACCTATCCTGCTGAGATGCAAACACATAGTGACTTGTTCAAGATAATAAAACTTATGCGTGTTTAGTGGGTGTGGGAAAACACCTTAAACAATTCATATACTCCATTCATCCTCATTTTACAGAGGGACTAGGAGGTGTTCTTTAACCTTTAGAAAAAGTCAAAAGACTTACTCAAGGCAGCAGGAAGAGGCGCGAGTGTTGGTCTCTAAACTTGTGAAGACCTGTGTCTTTCAACCTCAGCTTTTCTGTCTGAGCAGAGCACACCTCACCTTAATGAGGGGCTCAGAGCCTAGGTATCCTGGTTCTTAGTCCACACTTGTTTTCATCTTTTCCTCTCTCACAGAAACATAAACCAATATGCAGGCTTTGGGGAGATGACTCAGTGAATAAAATGTCTTACACAACTGTGAGGACCTGAGTTCGATTCCCTAGCACCCGAGTAAGAGCCAGGTGTGGCAGTATGCACTTGTAACACGAGCAACCAAGGAGGCTGAGACAGGAGGATCCATAGACCTTGTTGGCCAGTCAGTCTAACCAAATCAGTGGGCACTCGGATCAGTGAAGGACCCTTTCTCAAAAAACAAAGTGGGGAGCAATTGAGGAAGATACCGTGCATGTATTGCACGCGTGCGTGTGTGCATACACACACACACACACACATACACACACACACACACACACAATGCTTCCCAGCATTTGTGGTTTTATACCTCAAAACCAGAAGAAAATGAAGACTAGTGTTAAGAGAGAAACAAGAATTTGCTGAGTATTTGGGGTGTGCTAAGCACAGTGGTGTTGGGATTCAAGATGAGTAGACACTACTGTGTGCAGGAGTCTCCTGCTTCAGAAGAGGACGGGCTCACTGAAGCACTGCCCCCTTGCTGAATTCTGCCAGCTGCAGACCCTGAGTTCAGGACGATCTACATTCCTGGGCCTGTGGCTGACATTCTCTCCCTTGGCCTCAGTATCACAGCCACTAATCCCATGGTCAAGTTCACATTGAGGCCACAGTTCTAAGTAGCACCCCACATCCTCCTGACCTGACAGTTCTGCACGGCTTCACCTCGTGGGGATTTGTGCATTTGCTTTCAAAAGCTGATCGGCTTAGGTCAGCAGGCTCCATCTGGAGGCTCATTTCATTAATTCCTCTTTAGACGCTGGTCCCATGGTTGAGGGATCAGGTCGTTTATGCTCATCTCGTCAGGAAGAAGCTAAAGGGCCATGTGGACTATGATGAGTGGGACACGACAGAAATAGAAAATCTTGACTGAGATGAAGAAGAGGAAGTAAGTATTCGTAGTCAGTTGTGAGGTGGCAATAGGTTTGGGGTTGTGCTTCCTAGCAGCCAGAGGAGGATAGAAAGCAGAGTGAGGTAGCTTTCATTCCTGGAAGACAGAAAATACAGCAACTCTTTAAGGATCTCACCTCATATAAATCAAGAGAGATGCTTTGTGGGCCCTGGCAGCTCCTCAGGGTAGTTTTCCTTTGTGCCGCCTCAGCACAGTATCTTTTAAGTTACTTCCTTCTGACTCTTCCCTCTTTGATGTGTGTGTGTGTGTGTGTGTGTGTGTGTGTACTCACACAGGTATACATATATACATGAGTGTGCATGTGGACAGCCTGGACTGCCATTCCTTAAGCGCCATCCACTATTTTGCCGAGACTCTCTCTCATTGGTCTGGACGTGCCCAAGGAGGCTAGGCTGCCTCATTAGCAAGCTCAGGATCCACCTAGCTCTGCCTCCCCAGGGCTGGGATTACAAGCAGGCACTGCCAAGCCCGGCTTTTTTTTTTTTTTTAAATGAGGTGGGTTCTGGAGATGAACTCAAGTCCTCCTTCTTGCCAGGCAAGGATTTTACCCACTAAGCCACCTCCCCAACCTGTTTCCCCATAGTGAAAGGGGTAACCCAGAGGGCATATGATATCTGTTGGTTTATGGTCTGGCCGTGTCCTGGAACAACCAGGTTCTGTTCATGTATCTGTTCAGCCATCCTCAGAGCTGGCTTCACACTGGGCTGGTGAGCAAAAGGCAGTTCCAGATGTCCTTGCACTGCCATGGTCAGGGAAGCTGGGAGATTCCTTCTTTCTGCAGCATCCTGCGGCCCAAGGAGGACTCTCCCTCTATCATTGGCTAGGATCCAGTCACATGCTTATTCTTGATCCTAACGGGACTAGGTTTGCTCTTAGACCACTCCCACCTCCCTCAGACACTGAGGGCAGGGAGGTCAGAGGTGCTTGGCTACTGGGGCCTTCAGAATACTCCCATCAAGTTTAAAGTGATTAGAGATGATATGGGAAATTTCACCCATCAAGTAGAGCCAGTAAAGGATCACAGGGGAAAGGGTGATACCTTTAAAGAGCAAAAGACTGGAGAAGAGCAATTCATACCTTGAGGCAGTATTAAGCACAGTTTTCTGATGCTCAGAGATGTCCAGATATGGGGTGATGGGACCACACCCTTCTGTTATGGAACTTACACATTCAGTGAGTGGGGTATAAACAGCCAGACACCGCCAAACAAGAAGTGATCCAAACAGTTGCAAGCAATGGCTATGAACTTCAGGGGCACGAGGGCAGAGGCATGGCCTGCTTTGTGTTGCCCTGCCTTTAGTGTATATAGTAAATCTCAGCAAATACCAAACAGACTAGTGGATAAAAGCAGAAGACCAGGAAGAAAGGCAGGGCAGCTGGGAGACCCTGTGAAGAGTGATAGACAGTGTTAAGAGAAGGCCACAGTAGTACTGGATTTGCAAGCTGGTATCTTCTTTCTTCCTTCACACACTACACCTCCCACTGCCCCTCCTGGAGTGAGGATGGTTTGCATAATTGGAGGGAACTTGGATTTGAGAGGTGGGACTCTGACTGCAACTTTAGTCTTTGTATACATGCAATATGCCTTGGGCAGAATCCTAGTTTGCTTTCTGTTGCTGGGATAAAACATTTACCAAAACAAACATGGAGGCAGGAAAGGCTTTATTTTAGCTAATAAATTGTGGTCCATCCTTGACGGATGCCAAGGAAGCTGGAGGCAAGAACTGAGGCAGAGTCCATGAAGGAACGCTGCTCTGGCTTGCTTCTTCTGGCTTGCTCAGCCTGCTTTCTTATACAGCTCAGGTCCATCTGCCCAGGGATGGCACCATCCACAGTGGGCCGGGCTCTCCTATGTCAATTAGCGATCAAGAAAATGCCCCACAGACATGACCACAGGCTAATCCAAAGGAGGAAGTGCCTCAGTGGAGGTCCCTTCTCCCTAAGTATATCCAGTTGACAAGTAAAGCTATCCAGCACAGGCAGATTCTCTGAGACTTAGTGTTTTTGCTGGCTATAAAGTTAGTTTATAATGCATGTCGCAGGCATGCCATGGGAAGTGCCAGGCAGTATGTGACCATGAGGATTGCTTGGCACCAGAGCCTCAAAAATGGTACTGGTTTCCTTCAGCGGCTGGGCGTCTGAACGAGAGTTCCAAGTCGACTACTTCTCATGCTATGGAAACACTGTGGCCCAGTGGTAGTTGCATGAAATGCTAGGCCACCAGGTGAAGGGTGCGTGGGTTTGTGTTCATACTGGCTGTGGTATTCGGGGCTGCTCCGTCTTTGCTTTGCATAGGTACTCACGGCTTTCCCATGTCAGTGTGGTTTTTTGAGATTTTCAGATTGCCGATGATCTGGAAATATGAACCACGCGCTTTGCTGGTGTGTCAGCCCCTGAGAACTCGGCTACTGTTCATCCTCCTTGTTCGAAAAATTCAGGTGTGAAGTAGAATAAAGTAGGAGAGCGGGCTGAGGCTCTGTGTTAGGACTGAAACACCTGGAATCCCCTGTGAGACATGGCTGCATCAAAGGGGGATTTTAAATCCCAGGAACCCTTCCTTGCAGGACATCTGACCGTTAACAGGGAAGGTCAGCTCTCAAGCAGGAACTTCACAAGAGTGAATTTATTCCTCTGTGGAAATCCTTGCTTCCAGCTCGGGGGTCTAATGAATGCTTGTGTGATGAGTTAAGTGGGCAGGAGGGGAAGACAGCACCCAGCAGGCTTGCAGAACCATCCGGCATCACTTTTGCCCATGGGTGGTTAAGGCTATTTTGTTGTTGTTGTTGTTATGATTCTTCCCTTCTAGTACGCATCTCTTGCTCTGTGGGGGAAAGCTCTCTTGTTGGACAGTAATCACAGACTCAGAGCTGGGTTGAGGGCTGCATTGGGTTGAGGAAGAGAAAAATACATCATTGGACCCCACCCACCCCCAGTGAGCAGGGAGTGAGGGTGGAGCTGGTGACTGCGTGTGGTAGTGAGGGATGGCCCAGCAAAAGGCTGACTGCAGGGAGGAGGGAGAAGATAACGCCACAGAAGTAGCAGGACGCAAACAGCCCTTCTGAGAAGGCTGGAGTTTACGTTGCTTAATCAGCTAACTGGTCTTGTGCCTGCTGGGCAAGTGCACCATCACTAAGCTCAAGTCCTCATGCTTGTGTGGCGAGCACTTTCTCTTCTGAGCCACTTACCGAGCTCACATCACAAGTCTTTGATAGGGCAGGACAGACATCAGTGTCTCCACTGTACCCATTAGGTCTGAAAAAACCAACCCGGCTCAGCTCTCGGCTCTCTGGCCTCTGTGTGAAGTCCCGGGGAACAGGAGATGTTCGAGGCCTGACTGCCCATCAGCCTCCTCTTCGGTTTTCAGAACTGCAGGCGTGTTTCTCTTTGTTCCTTCCTTGAGGAAGCTGTCAGTATTGGAACTCTCATCTCCACTGTGGAAATTCATCCAGCTTCCCAGCAGCTGGCCACACCCTAGAAGCCAGGGACCAGCATTTCCCACACTGAGCCCAGAGAAAACTCTCATTTCACAAATGCACGGTGACATTGTAAACAGTGGAATAAACTGGCCTGGTTTCCTTACAGAAACACAAGCATATTCTGAAATGATAGAGGCTCCCCGTCAATTAGAGACATTAGTGTCCCACTCTGTGGCTGGTGCCGGCGCTGCACCCCGTTTGCCTGACCCAAATCACAGCAGTTTCTTTTTCATGAGCCGTTCCAGTTGGAGAGTGAATTGGATTTGGGGGTCTTCTACGGGGCCTGCTCCAGATTGGACCCTGCATTCTGCCTGCGGTGTCCCCACTGAGTGAGATGGGAAGCAGATGCGCACGGGGACAGGTTGCAGTTGTATTATTTGGAGCAGGTGACAGCAGACACGGTAAAGCATAAATTAAGTATTGTTTCTGCACAACATGCCTGGCCATCTGTAGTGAAGGACGTAGGGAGAGGGGAATGATACTACCTACTACCACAAAGAATTGGATCCATTTGATGGCTTAATCCCATTGGGCAAAATGATTGGAGCCGGGGCTGGCAAAGTGGCTCAGCAGGTAACGGTGCTTGCCATCCAAACCTGGCAACTCGAGTTCGATCCTTGGAACCCACATAAAGGTGGAAGGAGAGAACCAACTTCACAAAGTTGTCCTCTGACTTCCACATGCACACTGTGGCATGTGCCTCTCCAGTCACATCATACAGCATGCAACCACATACACACCAGTAATAATAATGATAATAAAACTAAAAAATGATTGAGGCTGGAGAGATGGCTCAGTTAAGAGCACTGGCTACTTTTGCAGAAGACCTTGATTTGAATCCCAGCACCCACATGGTGGCTAATGACTATCTGTAACTCTAGTTCCAGGGGATCTGATGCCCTCTTCTGACCTGCAGGCATTGCATGACACAGGAGCACTTACACACATGAAGGCATAATACACATAGACATAATATAAGAATAAATTTGGGGATTGGAGTGCTGACTCAGTGGTTAACAGCACTTGCTGTTCTTCCAGAGGACCTGGGTTCGAGTCCCAACACCCATGTGACAACTAACATCTGTCTGTAACTCCAGTTCCAGGCGATCCGACACCCTCTTCTACAGGCATTGCACATGTGGTACACTTACATACATGCAGGCAATACACTCACACACATAAAGTAAAAAAAATAATAACATCTAAATGTTTTAAAAATATTTGGGGCCAAATAATGAAATCTTAATCTCAGTTTCCTCAGTAAGAAAATATCCATAAATTCACTGCTTTAAAAATATTAATCCTACCTTGAGATGGTCCTTTGAGGAATTCATAATTTAATAACTAAGCAAAGCTAGTCAAACCCCCAAGTGAAACCTTGAGAACAAAGTTGAATGTGTGTCAGAAAACTTGTTACAGGGGCTCTGTGTCTGCTGAGAGAGCACACAGGGCAGAAGGTTAGTGATATGGAGCAAGTCACATGAA